GGGTGTTGCGCCTTCATCAATTGGGCAGTACAAGGGCATGGCTAAATTTTTCCTTCATGTTTTCTCAAATTTTTAACTAGAAAAACCTTTAACAGGTTAGAAAATTTTTAACCTGTAACTAGAAAAGGAAGAAAAGAGTCACCAGTCTGTACTTTTAAAGTGGTACGTCTACCCTTTTAAGCCTGAACATCACGCAGAGGCTAATCAAAACCTGAAGTTTGACCTGTCAGCCAGGTCGGCTGCAATGAAGTTAGAACGCCACAGCTGTCACTGTATCACTACTTCCTGGCTCGCTTCCACTCTCATACCGAACAGCCTATGGGTGTGAGTCCCAGGGAAAGAGAACCCAGGGCTTCTCCCTCAGTTGCCAGTTCCACTGGGCTCGACTCTGGACATGATTTTTCTTGCTGGCTTGCTGTTACAGTTCCATTCCTTTAAGTGACCATAATGTAAAACCGCTTAGTCAAACACAGTTCTGTTCCACTCCGCTCTTGTGCAGATGGGACGAGAGCTGCCCAGCCCACAAGAAACTGCAATAGCCTGGTCCTAGACGCCTAATCCCCAGGAGGTGAGCAAACCAATAACCCAGCGGAGGCGTTGTGTAGACTTCCAGTTGGCTTAGACAGGCCCTGAAAGTTTGAAGGGAGAAAACAGAAGTGCAAAGATGTCCAAAAAACCTCCCTTCCTCCTGTGTTTTGTTTATGATGGAAGTTTCATTGCTTTGCATTTTTGCAAATTTTTTTTTCATTCAAAATACCATCTTATATACACAATACAACTGGGTCTAAATCTAAAACAAGAGCACAAACCATGCAACCGGGTCAAACCATGGTGGTTTAAATGAGAACTGTCCCACCTAGACTCCAGGGATTGAGTAATTAGTCCTTTGCTGGTGCGTGGGGGAGGGGCACTAACAAGGAATGGTCTTGCTGGAGGAAGTATGTCACTGAGGGCGGGGCTTTGAGGGTTTAAAGCCTCACATAAATCTCTCTGCTTGAGATGGGAAGGCTCAGCTCATGGCTCCTGCAGTGTTTACAGCTTGCCACCATAGGGACTCTCCCCTCAACCCCCCAGCCCCGGAACCATATGTCCAAATGAACGCTTTCTTCCATAAGCTGCCTTGGTCATGGTGTTTTATCACAGCCAACAGAAAAATAACCAATAAACCTCCTTGGCTTTTAAACCTGATCTTCTCATTGGTTTTGGTACCAGGGCTTCTTGCTCTTTAGAAATGACCATGGTTGTGTTCTTTTACTATTTGCTCCTTTGACCCTTTTTAATAGTTTACATATATTAATAATCTCTCCTACATTATTTTATTATATATGTACACACACATGCACACACACACTGATTTTTTCCCAGGCAAAGTTTCTCTGTGTAAGAGCTCTGACTGTCCAGGAACTTGCTCTGTAGACCAGGCTGGCCTCAAACCACAGAGATCTACCTGCCTCTGCCTCTCAAGTGCTGGGATTACAGGTGTGCACCACCACTGCCTAGCTTTATTTTATTTTATTTTTTATTTATTTATTTTTGTTTTTGTATTTTGAGACAGGGTTTCTCTGTCCTGGAACTAGTGCTTGTAGACCAGGCTGGTCTTGAACTCACAGAGATCCTCCTGCCTCTGCCTCCCAAGTCAGCACTTGGATTAAAGGCGTGCACCACCACTTTCCGGCTATTTTATATTTTTAAAATCAGCATATGTGTTAAGTAACATTATGATGTCTTGGAGCAAAGGGTTTTTTGTTTGTTTTGTTTGTTTGTTGCTTAGGTTTTTTGTTTGGTTGGTTTTGATATTTTGAGACAGGGTTTCTCTGTGTAGCCCTGGCTGCCCTGGAATTCCCTCTAGAGACCAGGCTGACCTCAGACTCTGAGATCCACTTGTTTCTCAGCCACCATTGTCCAGGCTGGAACAAAGTAATTTTCAACACAACCTAATTTTGATTCCTAGGCAACCAAACTTGAGAATGATGTGTGGGCAATTATCAAAAAGTATTTATCGAGCATAGCGATGTTTGGAAAGTCCAAGCCCAGTGCAATGTAATGATGAAGAAAGGTTACACAAAGCCTAAACACAACAGCGTTGGGCAAGCGAGGGTGTCAGAAACCAAAACACCATTGTATGGCAGGTTGGCTTGACCTCAGAACAAATAAACACAGTTCTATCCTGGTCTCTGCCTCCGTACACAGTCCTAGGATCCCTACATAGAGCAGGACACTACCTCCCAAGGCCATTCAGGAAAACCCTCTGATGGCTAACCCTGCTCCTTTGTAAAGAGCAGCTGGTACTACCTCACTCTGTCTTACTTCCACCCTGTCCAGCCAAGCCGCATGCCCCACACCTTCTCAGCAAGGCACACACAAAGCCCTGGGATTTCTGCCATGGAAGCTTCAAGTTTAGACTTCGGAATCAAAAGATCTGGCTTCCCGAAACGGTGCAGCTATCTGGGTGGTTCTCAACAAGTCATTCAACGCTAGGGACTCAGACTCACTGGGCAAAGTCTAAGGCCCAGCCCATTTTTTCCAACGATGGCTTTATGCAAGCCAAGCCACACCCTAGCTCGTAAAAGATAGAGTTAATCTCTAACCTGAAAGTGTGTGGTATTATGAGAATGTGTATGGGAAGCCCTTATTCATTTCCTTACCTGTCTAGTGTTAAGGATTACAATAAATACAGAAAATGTAGGAGATGAAGTAGATTCCTTGAGATCTAAAGTAACTCTGATGAAGGAATTAACTTCTCAACTATTTGAAAGATCCGAAGTCAATGTCCCAGGGCTGTCTTCTAGGCTATGTGGGGGAAAAAAATCATTTGGTATTTTAATTTGATCTTTAGTAGTCTCTGTTTAAAATCTTAAAAGCTATTGATTTTCCCACTGCAAGCTATGCTTAGATAGCCACAGAATTCGCAGAGCTTCAACTGGGTGAAGAAGATCCAAGAAAATGGGCAGAACCAACAAAGCTCCTGCGTTGCTGGCGATTTCATCAACAGGAAGAGGCTGGCATCATCAGCTCCCCACTCAAAGGCAGTTACACAATGCAGTGCACTCTGCAAGGAACACACCTCAAGAAGCAGGGAGAACTAACAGCCTGCTGTCAGCAAAGGGCTTGTCCTTGAGAGCTGAAGGGTGTCCCATTTGACGGGCACACCTAACACCTCAGCCCTTGGGAAGTGGAGGCAGGAGTTTTACCAGTTCAAGGCCAGCCTGGGCTACATAGTGAAACTGTCTTTTAAAAAATATGCTAAAAGGTTGTTCAGCCACCGTCTGGTTTGTGAAAAGCCAAAAGAGAAAGGAAACAGGGCTCTGGGGAAGAGTTTTCACAACTGCCCCCTTAAGACCCTGTGAGTTATCTGGGGGCAGAGATACAATTATTCCTATTTGTTAAGAGCTAACCTTCCCTCTCTCTTAAAACACTTTTAAAACACTCACAACCCCTTCTCTTATCAAAAGATCTCAAGTTAATTTTTTCCCTGTTATAGCCACTACCTGGATTTTATTATCCTGAATTCTCAGTTTTCTTTTACATAGTTCCTGGGCTATAGTAATTCAAGTCTGGGGAGGGAACCAGAACCCCACTCCTTGATCCCCCCCCCCAATCTGGGCACTCCAAGAAGCAAGAAGCTCAGCTTGTTTCTAAAGGGGAAGAGGAACCTTCCCCAGAATGTGCAATCACATTATCGCCCGGATTGTACAAAACATTTTAAGAAACACTTAATGGAAAATATAGTCCTCAGTTTCCTGAATTAGGAAGTGCAGGTACAACGAGGAGGCAGAACAGCTGGCTCAGGTCCTGAATGTAGGCAGGGAGCCTGAGAAGGAAAGGCCTCCCGTGGGGGTGGGGCATTAGTCTTATACACCTCCGTTGCCTTTTGGGACAAGGGACTAGTAAAGACAGGGGTCTGGAATTAATCTAAAAGCTATTTGCATGTCATATAGCACAGGGAAGGAACCATAGAGTGAAAGTATTGTAAAGAATTTCTCTAGCTGAGAACACACAACCAGTTCAGGGCCACCTTTCCAAATGAATTCTGTAACTCAATGCCTCTAGTATTCTACGCTACAAGAGATTCAGATTCTAAAGTGGTTATCTGTACACAAGGATGTGTCACTTTACAGTTAACAGAATCTTCCCGGGAGAACAAAACAGAGTGTGTGTGTGTGTGTGTGTGTGTGTGTGTGTGTGTGTTGGGAAGGTGGGGGGGGGAGTAGAATTGCTTCTCTCCTGGTTTATCATTTTCTGCTTAGTTGAGGGAAAGGGCAGCTGCTGCTGGTGCCCAAGGGAGACAAGCTTCCTTCGCTGCCATCTGCCGCCTGCTGGGTCCTTCTAGCTTGGAGCAGTCCCTGGGCACTGCAGAACGCAAAGCTGCAGTAGAGTTGTATAACCTCGCTCGGGATGGAAAGCATCTATGAAAAAGGCCACTAGGGCCAGTCACGGAAGACCGACTGGGCTGGCAGGCCCCCAAGAGTAGGGGCTATCGGGAGGGAGACCGCGTTGGACCCCCATCCCTGAGGGTGACGGGAGGTGGGGTTGTGAATCCTCTGAGGAACCCAGGGTTGGTGGTGCAGCGAAGCGAAGCGCGCCACTCCTGAGTCTGTGAGGAGCAAAAGGAGGATGCTGCTGCAACCCAAGAACTCTGGGGCAGTTCTCAGGCTGGAGCCCGGGGAAGTGCCAAGGACATCCCTACTCCCCTTTTCAGTTACGTAACTCTCGCACTTCTGGCAGAATCTACTGAAACGCGAACTTACTCATTAAAGTAATTAAAGTATAAAATCTCTCATCGGATACATGCAAAGGCTCTGGGTGTTGTCTGCGAAGATGTAGTTGCCACCTGCAGCGATAGGTCATTGTGTGACTGACCCCCGCCATACCCTCCCTAGGGTGGATGCTGGGTGGCGGTGGATGGAGCCCGTCGGTCCCCATCGCGGAGCCGCGAGGACCCGCAGACACGCAGGCGGCCGTCGCCCTCCTCCCCACTGCAGACAGCTGCCCGCGGTTACCTGCGGGTTAGCGGGTGGATGCGCGACTTCGGGGACCCGCGTCGTTCCTTCCGAGGGGCCCGCGCTATTCTCCCGAGGATTGTCGTCCGGCGCCGGGAAAAGCCCGCAGCGGCGCTGAAAGCGCGCCACGAGCTGCGAATCCTGCAGACTCCGCAGCAGCTCGGCCATGGTGAGCCGCGACCCTGCTCGTCCGACCTGCAGCCACGCGCGTCCGTGTCCTCAGCGTGCGCCCTGGCCTGGCGTTCCGCAGCCGGGTGCTCCCAGCGTAGGGCGGGCGGGGCGCAGGGCCAGCCAACAGGTGCGCCGCCCGGGTCCTAGCGCCCGCCCTACACGCGGGGAAACACAGGTGTCTACCTCCACCTTGCACACGATGCCAACCCCTTCCTTGCCACCCGGATGGCCCCAGCCCCCCTCCCCTCAGGGTGCTCTCCCAATTGCTTGGAAGAGTCTAGGTGTTTGACCTGCGCACCAATCCCACTCTGTCGGGCTAGTGCAGGCTGACCACTAAGGAAGAGCACTGTGCACCTGCACTGTGCATCCTTCCAAACACTGCGGGAGCCTGGAAGCTTCGTGACACTCCTTTCAAATCTTGAGCCCAAGGTGAAACTGCCGGTTCCCCCCACCCCACGCATCCCCACACCTCAGCTCCCTGTCCCCACTTTTGCCTGGTTTCTGCAGGTTTAATTCCCAGGAGTCTGGCTCCTAGGGAGAACTACCAGTGCTTTCCAAACTCGGCTTGATGTAATGTTTCCTGCTCACAGGCTAGTCACCCTGCCCTTCCAACCTGTTCAACAACAGAAGAAAAGCATAAAGAGTCTAGAGTCAACCCCAGTGATGTCATGGAAAAACAGTAATCTCCACATTCCCACCCCTGCTTCTGCCTTGGGCCTTGCTAAGACTTTAGACCCAAAGGAAACAAAGCGCTGCGAAACCACAAGGCACCCCAGTGACTGCTTTTAAAACAGCAAAAGAAACGTCCTGCAGTTGTGTCATGGTTTTTCGTGGACACTCCTAATCCTCCCTTCCGGGTCTCTGAGATCCTAAAATGACCTCTGCACCTCGTCGCAGAGAGTGAGAAGGAACAGCTAAAGAGGCTCAGGTGATTGCCCTTCAGCAAAACTACAATCCAATTCTTAGTAGGGAGCAGAAGGCTGCTGGGGTAAGGGGGGAGGGTGGGGTTGTTCCCTTGTGAAACCTGCTGTTTGTCTGAATAAATGTCTGTGGATGAGCACCTGTTGCCACCTTGCTACTCCAGCTGCCCTTCGAGGCTGAAGGTCTTTGGTTCCCAGCGCCCAAGGATGGTGTGATCTCCTCCCATCCCTGCTTCCTGCAGCCTTTGCTCTTTAGTCCTACCTGGAAAACTCGGTCAAGGTGATTAATAAGGCAGTACCTTCTTCAGAGATTCCATTTTCCTCTTACAGAGAAGCGTGGGCCTACTGTCACAGCCCTGTGATGTCATATCCAGCCATGTGGAGCTCAGGAGGCCGTAGCCTCCCTCCCCAGTGCGGCTTGCTGTCATTTATGGACACAGAGCCAAAACCCATGGTTTGATTTTAACAGCTGGTATTACAGTAGCTCCCAGCCTGTTGCCTATACACACACAGACACACAGGCACACACACACACACACACACTTTTCTATGAAGTCACTTAAATCTTCATGTCTTTCAAATTTGTTGCTCCAACCTTTCTTCTAGTTAAGTGTGTGTGTGTGGCGGGGGGGAGACAGCATAAAACATGCCATGCTTAGTGTGGCACCCAATTATATTTCAGGTAAGCGTTTCTGACTCAAGTTTTCAGTCATCATGAGACCTGAGATCAGTCACGGTGTTCTTCTTTACCTTCTGTGATAAACACTAATCTTCCCTTGTGACTGTCTTTCTTAAAGGCTCTTGTGAAAATCCCAAATGACCTCCATGAGGCTTCAGGAGTCAGTTCCAGCAATGCGCATTGTGTTGTGTGTCCTGCCCTCCACGCTCTGTCTCCAGTTCCAGCAATGTGTGTTGTGTTGTGTGTCCTGCCCTCCACTCTCTGTCTCCAGTTCCAGCAATGTGCGCTGTGTTGTGTGTCCTGCTCTCCTCGCTCTGTCTCCTTCCTCCGAGGCAGACTCTCTCACAGAACCTGGAACTAAGATGGCTCTGCCCTTCACAGGGCTGGGGTCACGGAACCCACACAGCCACATCCTTGGGCCCTCACGCCTTCACAGGAAGTGCTCTTATGCACTGGGCCATCTCTGTGGCCCTCTGTATTTTATTTTTAAAGATGAGGCTTCGTTATGTAGCCCAAACTGGCTTCAGACTCTCAAGTCCATTGGCTTCTACCTGATAAGTGCTAGATTACAGGTATGTACCACCTTGTGCAGACAGTGCCATCTTTTGATAATCTCAATATTGGATTTATTAGTTAAGGGTAATGGGTAAGTTGCAATAATAAAAAGTCAGTGTTCTAAGAACACACGTATTTATTTCTCCTTGTTACATGGCCCCAAGATAAGGTTGCCCTGGCATGTAACTCAATAACTTGAGTTCTTTTCTTCCAACTGATTCTCCATGCCCTGTCCTGGGACCACACCTCACTTCCGAGTCTTCTTGTGTACAGTTTCTGAGAAAGAGCAGGTGGTGAGGATGCTGGGTGTCACTGTCACAATCAACAAGGAAGCAGAGTTTATATGTTCACTAGGAACATGCCCTTGAGTCTCAGCAGAAGTTTGGAAGCGTCACCTCTCCCTGGGAAGCCTGGGTCTGGCTTAAATTTTATTTCTATGGAATGAGAAGAAGGCAAAGCAGTGTTACTTTGTATTTATTTACTGTTGGTTCTTGTAAACTACCAGAAGACTCTAGAGTTTGGAAACAAACTATTATTGGCGAAAATGACATAAAGTAGGAACAGCAAGATAGTTCAGCTAGTAAAGGTACCTATTGTCAATCCTGGTGACCTGAGTTTGGTTCTCAGGCCCTACCTGATAGGAGGAAAGACCTGATACACCGACACACAAACGATAGATAGATAGATAGATAGATAGATAGATAGATAGATAGATAGATAGATAGATAGATAGATGTAACATGAGGGCCGGCTTGTTGGGGTTTCTGTCCCACCAGGCACCCCACAGCTGGCAATTCCCAAAGAAAATCACACACAAGACTCCATAAGATTATAAACTGATTGGTCCTTAGCTCTGGCTACTTATTAGCTCTTATAACATATATTACCCCATTATCCTTATCTACATTAGGCATATGGCTTGGTACCTTTTTCAGCTGTCAGCTCACATGTTGCTTCTTCGGTGATCTGGGCAGGAGTGGCAGAGAGAGCTTCCTGCTTCCCAGAATATTCCTGTTCTCATCGCCCCGCCTCTACTTCCTGTCTGGTTGACCCACCTACACTTCCTGCTTGGCCAATCAGCGTTTTATTAAAATATATGATTGACAGAATACAGATAATTCTCCTACACCAGATAGATAGATAGATAGATAGATAGATAGATGATAGATAGATAGATGATAGATAGATATTCGTTTTTTGTGTTAGTGTTTCTTTGTAAAGCTTTTACTGTTCTGGAACTCACTTTGTAAACCAGGCTGGCCTAGAACTCACAGAGGTCGGCCTGCCTCTACCTCCTGAGTGCTAGGATTAAAAGTATGTGCTACCACTGCCCATAAAATGTAATTTCCAAATGTTGTAACATATAAGTCAGCATTATATGTTGTGTCTAATCTAATTTAGGCACTCTGTCTTTGATTTGTTACACTCAAAATGCTTCGATGCAAATGCTTTTTAAATGTTTTTCTTTAATTTTGAAAATTTCATACATGTATACAAAGAAATGTGATCTTATCTACATGTATTTTCTCCTCCAACTTCTGCTGTATTCCATATTTCCCCTAACATGCCCTTTTACCAGCATCATATATATATATATATACATAGATAGATAGATAGATAGATATGTAAATCACAAAGTTCACTTAGTGCTGCCCTTGTGTACCTGGGTGCGGGAGCATCCATTGGAGCATGGAAGAGAATTTTTATCTTCTAATTTTTATTTTTTGTTTTTTTTTTTTTTTGAGACAGGGTCTCTTTACAGAGCCCTGCCTTCCTGGAACTTACTAAGTAGACCAGGCTAGCCTCCAACTCACAGAGATCTGCCTCTCTTGCCTCCTGAATGCTGGGATTAAAGGCGTGTGCCACCAAGTCCAGCAAGAAATTTTTTAAAAAAGAGACAGAAAACGTTATAAGAAACAACTGACATATTTTTATAACTTAAAAGGTGGGAATTAAAAGAAATGCTAAAATTATCCTCTTTTTTCAATGAAAAGCTTTTGTATTATTCACCCACCAGATTTTAAATTTTGATTTAGATTTCTCTCTACTTGCAGTTAGATCTTCCTGTCTTATCTGGACAATGTCTCTTAGGGCAAGATAATTACCCAGGGGTTGGGTTCTGTGTTAGTTATCTGTGGCTGAATAACAAATTTTCCCACAAACGGGGAGTTAGAACACAGCATCGTCACCTTGTAATTTCTAGGGTCAGCACCCCATGTACGTTTTGTTTTAGCTGGGGCCTCTGACTCTCAGTTTCTCCCAAGGCTGATGTCGTCTCCACTCCTATGGTAGCATTCAGGGTATTACAGTAGCACTCAGCGTGCATTGCTGTGTATAGGCCTCTCTCCCGTCTGTGCCATACGCGCATCCTCACAGTACAACCGCGATCCCAGAGCTCCGCTTGCAGAAGCTGATCTGCAGAGACTAAAATTGAATCTTAACACTGTTCTATTCGGAGAGTCATAGATGATGGTGATTGACATCCTAGAAAAATCTGACATCATTTCCAGACAGAAGAAGGCTGGGGGTGGGGCAATGGAGGCAGTCACATTCTGGAGATCTCTATTGTCCCTCTGAGCAGGCGATCCGACCCCATTTGGAGGATTTATGATGTCTCTGCTCTTTCTTTTCTTGTCATCTTGTGTGTAGTCTAGGCTGTCCTTGAACCCGTGCCCTTCCTATACCTGCAGCCTCCGTGCTGGTTATTACAAGTGTGAGCCACCCGAACAAGTTGGCCATCTCTGTGTATGCGTGCACCTGTGTGTGTCTTTTTTCTTTTAATGCCTCATTTGCCTGGCTAGTCAAGGAAGCACCACTCCATTGTTTACCAAGGTGTCAGGGCTAGTGTTTTCAGAGCCATGGGTCAACCATAGGTTTTGAATGAGGGACCAAATGTGGTCTAGAAACCTG